TGAAGAGAGGTGTGGAAAACTGTAAGGAGAGGCATAAAACTCTAATACCAGCTTATGAGTATTTTCTAAGCACCATTCTGTGGTATAGATTACAATAGGTGAAAAATACATAAAAGGGAGCCAGAATACACCTCTGACATGAGCCAGGTGAAGGCACATAGCTGGAGGAATGTGTGGTGAGTTTTAAGGGATGTTGGCACAACCTCTACTGCCGTTGTGTGCTGGAGCAGACTTACCCTTGAGAAGTAAAAGTGAGCATTCCCGTTTCTGGTCTGTTCAGGAGCACAGAGGAGCCTGTGCAGATGTGGGGAAGGGGGAAAAGGGATACTGCACAGCACTGGGTCAAAGGGGCACAGGGACAATCTGAGCCTTGACTGAACCCAGATTCAGTTTGTCCTAGCTCAAAATAGAACCCACACTCTGTTCACCACAGAAGCCACATGACTAACAGTCTAGCCTCGAGCAATGATGAAGTAGGCACAAAATATTGAGAAGGAGAAGGGTGCTCCTTTTGCTTATACCCTAAGGCTGGGATTTTTTTCTGAACAAAAATGTCCCCTGGCCACATTGGTGAGTAAGTCCCATTTTGGGAGCTGCTCTGCCACACCCATGGGATGGTGAATCAGTGAGAGTTATACAACTTTGCTATTTATGGGAGGCTTCACCCACTTACCTCTGCTTTACTGCTCTCTCTGCTTGCAGCTGTGTACAACCAGTTTTGAAGGATGGGTATCCAGGAGTAAAAATGATATAGAGAAGGAATAATTTGTCTTTGAACTTGGTGAATAAAAATTCACAGCAGTGAGGGCAATCACCAGAAAAAGACAAACAAATTTCAGATCAGAAGTCAGCCTGGAAATCATTTGGTAAGGAACCTCTATACAAAAAGTCACAGTGCATGTGGATTTCCATAAATGTTATGACAAAGCCTCCCCCAGTTGTACTGCAGCAATCAGAGTAAACAAAAATACAGGTAAATGCCTGAACTCACTTCCTAGCTCAGCCCCGAGGGATGGATACACCCACTGGTTTGAGATCTAAGAAGCCTAATTCAACTAAACACTTCAGGGTTCAGATTAATGTTCTGGATATCTCTAAATGACAGTGAAGTGGAAGAGCATTTGTAGAAGTTGTTTTCCTGGCCAGTGCAATGATCCTGAGCAAGTAGGACCAGACTGTGTTTTTTGTGCAATCAAATTGTCAAGCTGAAGGTAGGGAGCTCACCAGGCTTAGCATCTCTCAGCATTCTGTAAACTGGAAGCCAAAAACCAGTGGCTAGGCTTGAAAAAGTTGATCTTGGTGAGCAGCAAGAAAGGTTAAATGCATGAAGCTCTGTTAGTCATTGGGATTTATTTGCTCAGTTCTAATTTTAACTTTGGTTAGCCCAATAAAAGGTATCACATCACTGTCTGGGTAGCTGTCGTACAAAAAACAATGCAGCTACCAACTTTCCTCCATTGGATGACATACTTGGGCAGTGGCCCTTTAAAAAAAAAAGCATCAGCTTCTTTAGCGCACATTTGGTTTTCCATTCATTATTTTCCTGATGGCGAAAGCAACGTTATTCATCCCAGTGAAGAATAGATACATTGTATTTCAAAAGTTTAACCAAAGCACGAAGTTTGCTGCAAATTTTCCTTCTTTCGGGATTTTTAAAACACACCTACAAAGTGGCTGCTGGGCAGAATCATCAATTTAGTCAGTGGAATTTGGTAGGAAAAAAGGCAAAAGGAAAAACAAATGAATGACAGGATTGCAAGAGCTGACTGCTACCTACAAAAATGCAGATGATGAGAAGAAGGACTAAAAACAAAGACTCCTCTCCCTGTGAAATGAGATAATAAATGTTAAACATAGAATGATACTTTTTATAAAAGAAGAGACAAAAATAGGAAAAAAAAAATTCTCTGTGGCAGCTGGCATGAGAGCATTTGGACACAATTCTGCTGGGAATCCAGCTCTTTGGGTTTCCTCTTCCTCCTTCAAGCTCCTCTTCCTCCTTCCAGGACTTGTAAGTAGCAGTCAGAAGGGACAAACCTCTACATTTGAAATACTGTTGCCCAGAACAATGAGGGAAATGCTCCCCTCACAAGTCACTCTCCTCCTGACTGCTTTTGAGACTTGCACTCTGATTTAGGCAGTCTGGTGTCATGATGAAAGAATCATGTCATACCACCATGAAATATCCAGTTAATGCTGGAACAGGGTGTTCAAATACACTGCCAAGAGAAATTCTCTTTGTTTCTACTGGATCAGAAGCAATCACACCATATTAACCAAGCTGTACTGGTGCAAGTTCATAGGCCCAGACACTGCTCAAACGGAAGGAGGACACTACACATCCAGGGAGCTGGAAAAAGCAATTCCTGTTATATATGCAGTAACTTGACTGTTCTCCAATATTTATGGATCTTGACTTCATTATGCCATTAGGGGGAAAAAAAGTACAATAATCCCCTTTATGTCTCTTGTAATTGAATTCAACCATGATTTTAAAATATTGCGAGCATTGGAAGTAACTATTAATTACTGACTCCTTGCTTCATAATGAATTGAAATATCAACTGTTATAGACCAACTTTTTAATATATTCTCTAACACTTCCAAGATGCTGTGGGACTAAGCTATCCTTTAAAATGAATGAAGTATTAAAATCAATAGAACAAAAACTCTTTTCTTTCCCAGAGAGACTGTAAACTTTGCAAACGGTCTCATCAGATTCCGCAAAGTATGGAGAACTGGTCTAAGTCATCCTTGGATCAAAACCCTTGCTGGTTCCTAAGCTTCTCTAAGAATAGCACCTGTGCTACATTCACTAACAATGATAAAATGTCTCAGTATAATCAAGAGGACACTGGAGCTTCCAATTTTTAAATTGTATGTGAAATTCAGGAAATAGTAATTGTAACAACAAAATCAATTTAGAGAAACCATCACAACTTCTTAAAAGAGAGTGCCAAGCTTCATGCTGATCAAATGTCAAATTAAGTATGTTCATTCTTCTTAATAGAATGTATCCTGGAAATACTTTCTTTCCACATTTCTTGGTTGAGGAGCAGAGGGAGAGCATGCTGCTCATTGCTTGATTTCCTAAACTATTTAATAGTCCTGATATGATTGTTGAAAAGCTGCTATCATCATCCCAAGAGTGAGCTCATCTGAAAGTGGCTGAAGAAATATGAATAAAATGCTCAGGGGTTTTAATTTGCAAGGACCTATTTCACATGCAGCATCATTCTCTGCAGAGAACTAATCACTTCTAGGGTGTGGTGTGGCAGCTATTCAAAGAATACCCACTAGCTGAGCCTCATGCATATTGAATTTTAGGAATATATAATAATATATATCTTTCCTTTTGGAGAGACCCTCATAATTTATTACATCATCTAGCTAGGAGTTCAGTGGTGTTTATATGTCATCTTATTTTGACATCCAGCCCCCAGCAGGAGACTATGGATGCTCTCCTGTCAAAATCAATAGCAAAATACTCACTTAAATTTATCAGAAGTAGATTTGGGCCTCTAAACAGGTTACAGTAATGATTCAGGATGACTGACCTCCCTTCAAGATTTCAGGCCAGCCAGCAGCTTACACAATTGGAACAGCTTTTATCTTGTTTCTGCATCTGAATATACTGTCAGTCTGCTGGAACTGTGCTGGAGGGTGAGCTATGATTGGTACTGATCATTCCCACTTAGGAAGTACTCCAAGCCTCTATTCTGCTTATAAAGACAAATGAAATTATCTTATCAAACACTGCTATCACATTGGTCTAGAGCATTAACTGGTTTTGCAAAAAATAATTACCCAAAGGAACATTTTTTATGATGACAGTGTGGTGTTGCAGTGGTGCTAGCAAACAAATGAACAATACAATATGTTGACGCTATATCAAATGGAAAACACTCCCATCAGAGTTAACATCAATTTATATGGTGTAGCCTGAGGGTGGGGATCTCTTCCAGGGCTTCTGCTTACTTTCATGATTTTTCACCTGATACATAACCAGGACTTTGCTCAATCCTTTCGCTTAAAGGACAAGAACAGAAACTAAAATTTTCAATACAGCAGGTTCATCTGCAAGCATGAATGCCTCTTACAGACATAGCAAATCCAAGCATGTAGCAAATCATGCAAAAAAACCCATCAACCTACAATAACTGCACATGAAAATAAGTAGGTATTTTATTCCCTTTCCTGATTCCAACAACATGAAACTTTTGAAAAATACCACAGTATTTAAAAAAAAAAATTATACTTATTTAAACCTATTTATTCATACTCCTTGATATGGCAGATGCAAAGATAGAGCAGTCAGGATATGTTGTCAGAGAAGACCAGGTCAATTTAATTAGCTGGGTTATGCTTCCATACCATAATTAACTACAGCACTTGCCATACACTTAATTCAAATAAAAGTGCAAAGTACCTCTGCTGTGATCTGGTGGTCTCCTGGAAAAAGCACACTCCCCCAGGTTAGCAGCTTCTATGCAGCAAACAACCAGCTGTCTTGCAAAGGAGGATAGAAATAACCATTCCTGATACTATTGACTATTATAAGAATTTACAAGACAGGGGACAAAAAAATAGAGAGGAAGTTCAAGACTCTAAAGCAAATTTTTTCAGTGTTTATATAAATAACAAACTCGTGTTGAACTTGGTCTACCTAGAGTATTAGGATAAATTCTCACTGAAATAACGCATTCATAAACTCTTCCAGCTTGGATGAATTTTGTTAATTATAAGCCTGGCCCTGTGGGCATGTGCCCTCAACAAGATCAAGGCTCATGAAGCAGCATAATGCTGTGCAAACTTTACCTTTGAGCTGCAAAGAAGCTAAGTCACCTGCAAACAACACATGAAGATACCACATAAATACCAGAGCAACATCATGCTATAAAGAAGTAAATGAAGAAAGCAACAAAATGTGAAGGGGTGACAGCAAACAAAGCTGTGGGAAGCTCAGGGTTAATTTCAAATGAGGAAGTGATACAGAAGCCTGGTTTCAGGAGTATGTCATATTTTACAGTACTTTTGCACCAGTTTGGCTTTTTTAATAGATTATTTATAAACAGAAGATTCTGATAAGAAGGAAAGATATTTATTCAATATGATGCATATCCTGTAAATTTTTTTTTAATTTTTTTTCCAGTGCTGGAAGAACTTCACATAGAAATACAATCTCTGCTCAACAAATTTCAGTTTATGGCAGTAAATTATTCTTTATAAGCAATACAAGAATATTGAAACTTATCTCTAATTTTCTCTGTACAGTAAATGCTGGAAAAGAGAAAATAACAAGACATTATAAAGCAAAACCCAACCCCTTGAAAGTAGAAAAATGTTGTTTTTCTGTGTCACAGTTGAATAATAGTTGGACAGAAGAATGAATCTGGGGCTGGAAACCACAGTCTTATTTGAACTCAGCATTGTGTACAAAGCCCAAAAGATGAGCAGTGTCCAGACCTCCAGATTTTGGTCATCAGAGTAGTAATTGTTTTAATCTGTTTTTCTAAAATGCAATGGCAGGAAAACAAAATTAAAGAAAAGTCGTTGGACAAGAACCTTTTGAAAGTAAACTTTAAAACTTTAGAAGTATTTACCTGCTTAACAGAAAAATATATGCTTTATGTTAGGACTTATTTTAGAAAATGTATTTCAAAGTTCTAGATAATAAGGATGCCATGACTCACAACATTATTTTCAAAATATCACAAAATTCCTTTTAGATTTATTTCCAATAAAATTGCCATTTAAAATTAATTTTAATCTTTGAATGGCTTAACCATATAAAATCCTATTCAAATAGCTAAATATGCAGATAGGCTGCCTATTTCAGCTGACCAGAAGAGCAGGCATTACTCTAAAATCCCATTCAGAACAGTTTGACTGGCCACCAGTGCCTCTTTCAGTCTCAGAAACATTACTGATGAGAACCAAACATATGGTTCCCCCAAACTAGTAAGGTTTCCTTTCACTTCTCTAGCTTCCAAGCTTCCTGTAATTGGCCTGATCTTTTTCCAGCCAAAAAAGAACTTTCTTAAAAATTCAAACTACATTTGAGAACTGCTAAGAATTACTTTACAATATTTCCTCTTAGGCTGCTGCATAAATGACTACATTTCAATTACTTCCTTCCTCTGAATTAGATGGACTATTTGGCATTGGGGGAAAGTAAGTAATTTTTATTCAATGCAACTTTTAAATCTTGATGATACTATCAAATACTGCAATTTAGCACAAAGAGGTCATATTTTACTACTATAGACACTTCTAGCTTTTTCTTCCTTTCCCCCCTCCTCTTTATTACCAGCATATTTTCTCCTTTTTGTGAAACTATTCTCATGAGACCTTATTTTGCAAAGCATGGAGCAGAAAAGGCAAATAAGAGTGCTTCAGAGCATTACCTCTTAAAATGACAGAAAATAACTTAAATAAGAGTGGATGATATAATTGACCTGAGTGCCTACTTGTCATTTACCCTGAAGTCCCAATGAAACCAGGCAGCTCTGAGCACTGGGATCACATTCAGTAATGGGAATCATGACAGAGTAATATATTTCACAGAAGTCTCATAGCAGTGTACTTTCCAGCTATATTATATGCCTATAATTTAGGATTCTTTGGTCCAGGACTCTACACCATTATGGTATGGGCTTTCTCTAGTAACTGTGCTTGATTTTTCTAGATTCCCTAGTAGCCACTGACAAGACGACAAAAGAAGATTTGAGATCTATAGTTAACGTTTAAGCCTAATAGCTACAGTAATTGATTAGTTCTCCATGGACTTTCTTTGGTCACTGAGGTGTGTACAGAGACTACAGGAGATTATTTTATTGTGTAATTTTCACAGCGCAGCAGGGTACCTTGACAATGGGTAGGATACCACCCTCCTGACAAAAACCACAGGGGAGGGATTAGAGTGAAGAAAACTCAGAGAGCAGAATCACTCCATAACAAGTAGGGTTTTTTCCTTTCTGGGAAAGAAATAAGATTTCTGCCCCCACAACTTGTAGATAAATCTGAGGTCTCCTGGGAAACAGTGATTTTTGTTGGGAGTTACAGCCCACTTCAGCCCTAGAGGTATCAGAGGCTTTACCCAGTTCCTTGGCTACTGAGCTACTTAATAGCTAACATGTTGAAAAAGGCTTCTTGAAACAGTTACAGCGTGTACTGAGCCAGAGTAGGGCCAGAGGGTTAAGCAGCAGATGCACAAGTGCTGCAAAGCTGCTTTTGTTTTAGGGGTGGATGCAAAGAAGTTGAAAATAGACACAGAGATGATGAAGGTTGATGGCTTAAGAAATTCTGAAAAATGTTTCCTTATTATCCATAGATCAAGCTAGCATTGACCACAGCAACTGTTATAACCTCTTTTGAAACAGCACAGAAGTGAGTTGGAGGGGCCTTTACTACAGCTAGAACAGGAGCTGGCGGACCCCTGTTGAGGAAACCAACAGCAATGTGGGATGTGGAGATGGCTCATGCAATTGCATCTACCATGAACTAAACTGGGGCTATCAGTGCATTTTGTATCTGCCTTCCAAGAGACTGCAAATTATATTTTGGTATGAAGTAGCAACAGCCAGGAGAGGCCTTGTTCAAATGCCCGTTTATACACTTGATCCAGTTCTCAGTTGTTTTCAGTTCCAAGCGTATTTTAGTAATATCTCTACTCACTCACAGAAATCCAGACATTAGCCTGACTTCTCCAAATTCCAGGCCAAGGTCCTCTCAAAGTTTGCCTCACTTATTGGGTGCTATATTTCAGCTACCTTGCAGGGGCCTGACTTTCAGAAGGCAATACTCAGCATTTAGACAAAATACAAAAGCATTTAGATGGCAATACTCAGAAAATACAATTTCTAAATACACAACACTCAAAACACCCTCCAACTGGATTAATAAAAGTTAAGGCACTCAAAAATTGGTAGTTACTTTTGAAAATCTTACCCATAGCTAGAGCAGACTGACAAGAAAAGCAGAAATCACAGGTAACCATAAAAAGATCCATGTGTTGCTGTGCTCAAGGTACTCACAGTGTAAACTTTACTCCCATTCATAGTGGCATAGTTAACAGCAAAAAGGTTTGCCCTTTATGTCCAGTAACCATATTTTACTCTATATCTCTAGAGAGCAGGAGTCTGTATAAGCAATGAGAGGGAGGGGGGAAAGAGTTGATGGATTACCAGTTTTTCTCCTGGTGGTGAATTCAGCTGTCTGGAATCATGAATGTTAGTACAGGAGGAAACGAGATAGTTATCTTTTGTCAGAACTGTGATATAACAAATGTTAATATAATCTCAAAGGGAGGTGCAGTTCAGAATATCTTTTTTAAAAGGACAAAATATATCCTGAAACAAAGGTTGCTTTTAACTATGTATAAACAATCTTTGATCAATCAACTGAATCCTTAGAAAGGGATGATATATCGTAAAACACAACACAACACCGCTACCACAGTTGGGTAAGTGCTTAAACTTTGCTCACAGAAGGGATGATAGCAGTTGGCAAGGAGAACCAACCAAATTATTAGAGCGGAACTTTTTTTGTTTTTATATAAATTAGCACAGTCCTCTCCTTCTGGAAGCTGCAATCACTACAGAGTAAAATGGATTGGTACTGCTGCATTATAAATTCATCTGGCATCAGAAAGAAATTTCTCCTGAGAGTCGTCGTCAGAGTTCGTGGCTTTTTGTTTCCTCTGCTGCATCCTCAGACAGACCTGTAAAGCAAAAAGGAGATGCTTAAAAATTTAGTGCAGTTGGCAACTACATGCACTATATTGTTGATTTTATCAGTTTGTCAAAGCCTTGGTTGTAGCTGGAGGAAACAATTTATTACATGCAAAACACTTAGGATAAAAATGCTTAACTTGCAAATGCAAGCACTCACAAGTTCAGAAAATAAAAAAAAAAAAATGCAATAAAGGCAATTTCACATCAGCTTTTCTATACATATCATGGATGATAACAGTTCAAACTACAAAACCATGGACTACTTTTTCATCAGAAATAAATGACAGAGAACAACTATGTATATGATCTGAGACACAGTTACTCCAATCTACCTGCATTTATTCTGTCCCTTTTTCTAGGCAAAAAAAGGACAATACAAGTTGCAAAACAATAGAAAATTGAGTGCACACACTCATTAACAAGGATATACTTTTATATAGATATATATGTATATATATATATATATATATACACACACATATATATACACACACATATATATATATGACTATCAGTCTGGGCAAGAGGAAAATAGCCAGACTCTTGTACTGATTATAACTTCTGCCTTAAGCCAAGGGAATGAGTTTCCCATTTTCAAATATTAGTTCAGGAGATTAATCAGTCTTGGATAGGATAATAATCTTTGCAATAATGAACCTGATGGAATTTGCAAAGGGTGTAGAGACTCATAAAAAGTTGCTTCAAATATCTATGGAGAAGGAAAACAGTGGATAATCACACAAATTTGTACACACATACTTGAATGGCTAAAATTAAAAGTGGCTGTTTCACCCAGCAGTTTCCTACATATGCGCCCTTAGTTTAGACTGAAAATTACTTAACTTAAATCCTTTTCTAATTAATTTAAGCAATCCAAAATAAACTGGCACCATCTCCAAATTATATATGAGTAATAAGAAAATAACACAGAGATTGACTGAGATTTGTTTTGATATGTTTTTTCCCTTCTTCTCTGAAGATGGCCGAAATCCCCCAACACACAATGAAATGATCCAGCAGGTCAGCAGAATAAAATTTGAGCATCCAGTGTTCTAAACCAAAGCCACCAGTGTCCTGTCAGCCTAACTACCTTCACAATCATGTCCAGAAAGAATTTAGTCCCAACAACCTACAAACTTAAATCAATAGGCTTTCATTTAGATCTGTGAAATTTCACATGATCAAAATCATCTACATTTATTTCCCAGCTTTTATTTTACACTTCCAATGTTTTTGTTGCTCAGGTATTTTACTATTTACAGTGGTTTTCATGGGTGATGGTACTAAACTGAACAAATGTTATCTCAAGCCTTGAGATACAAAACACTAAAGCAGTAAAATTTCAGCAACAGCTGGAAGCCCAAAGCCCCAAGGGCCTAAGAAATTCCCCTTATTGAAGTTGCTATTTTTTTAAAGGACAATTAAAAGCACCATGTTAAGAACTGCCTTGGTTTTCCAAAGGTCAGCCCTCAAATGGCCATTCTTTTGTTCAGAGCTCTCATCACACAGCTGGGATGCAAAGGGACCAGCAGCAGGTCCCATCTTGTTTCAGTAATGATCATGGGAAAGGAGGTAGGTAGCATGATAATGAAACTTGTGGATTTTAGGAAACCAAGATGAGCTACAAATGCTGGGGAGGATAAAGAAATATTGCTCTAGGACTAAGAAATTAACAAATATGAGAGAAGATAGGAAATATTGCTTGAAGTGCAACATGGAAATAACAAACTTCCACTTTTTCCACTGTGCTACTTCTGCAGGGCTTTCCTCAGTAAGTATCTATGTCTAAGTTATACACTGGCAGTAAAACGCCATAGCTCAATGCAGTGTAGAAACCACTGCAAAGCTGCAGTTAACACTGTTCCTGACTACATAGCTTTGCTGAGCTCTTTAGAGGTCTGCATAAAAAAAAAATACCACAGAATATCTTGCTTTCTCCCCATAGTCAAGGAAAATGGTGCCAGAATTATGAAACTGGCTGCTGCACACTCCTATAAAAGCTGGACACACATATAATCTGAATGAGAAAGAGAAAAAAAGAGTTATGACTAGGGTCAGCTCTTTGTATCCAAACAGAATGGCTGCAGATTTACCAGAGACCAAGAGTTTACCAACTGTACACTGGTGTTGCACGTTTAAGCCATGACACTGCCACTGCACAGTGCCCTCAGCCTCTTGACATTTGAGGAGTGTCTGGCTACAGCACCCCTAAGAAGCAAAACAAAACAGAAACTAAAGAAGGGAGGTTTACAAAAAAATCTGCAGGGAAGAAAACCTCTCAATAAGAAGTCAATAATATCATAATGCATTTTTTTTCCTTTGTTAAGCTGAAAACATGGTTGTTAAAAATTAAAGTGTAATTATAAACTTATAAAAAAAATTCTTTGAGCCAAAAAATAGTGCCCAAGACACTGCCTTCAAAATCTGTTACTTCCCTGACATTAACTTCTCACAAATAACACTTGTGTCTATTTCTACAAATTGCCATGCCAAAGTGAACCATGAATGGTTACTTTCACGAAAAGCTGTGGATCCACTAAATCTACACATTTACTGTAATTACTGGCTGGCAGAACTGAAGTCACAGAGCAGAATTTACCCTGGTTTCACACAAGTTTGCACAACAGCTCTGTAGGTTCCAGCTATAGGGAACCTGGAATACTTCTGCATGGATCAAAGAACTACTACATGAGTAAACTGGGAGAGATGAGCTGACAGGTGAGGCACAGACTGCAGCTATTTTTATTGTGCAACTCCAAAATGGAAGGCAATGCAGAATCAGGAAAATACAGCTTGCAATAATCATCCCTCTCACCTCTACCCTGTATTTTTTCCAACATGCAACTTTTATTAGTCATCTAGGAGAACAATGTAAGTGTCACATTGATCTAACTGGCAGATTCTACATTATAGCAGATGAGATAATTAACATCAGAGAAGTTTCCCATTAGCATATTCTAACAAGCTTAGGCAGATCCTAAAAAATACAAGATATAAATATAAATTCTGAAGATTAAGGCATCTTTACTGCATTTCATCAGGAATAAAAAGTTTCCTTTCATCTTCATATCCTCCATTATGAAGTTCTCAATGTTTAGTTTTATAGGGCATCCAAAAATCCTATCATAATAGCACTGGTTCCGAGCACAAACACTTAGAGAAATGTGTATTGAAAGGTTTATGTCTCTGTTTATTAACATGGCGACAAACTGGGAAGCTGCTTGTGGAAATGATCATGATAAATTTTAACTCAGCAGTAGGCAACCCCAAGCAACTCCAAGAGCTTTCGGAGTTCATTTTTCAAATCAGAGCCAGAATACATGATTATATTAATATCCTGATTAGTAACATGAGATTGAGGATATCTGACACCAAAAAAAGTCACTTAAATCTCTCAAATGTCATGTATTTGTCAATTAGCACCCTCAAGAAAGCAGCTTCTATAAACAAAGACACAGAATACTTTAGTCATTTTATTTACATCTTCAAAAGCATGACTTAATACGCACATATCATTGAGTCACAGAAAGTTCATTTCTAGATCAAAATGTACTTTTGAGGCTTGAAAACCAAAAGTTCAAAGAAAATCAGTTACAGTGACAGAAGCACCAAAGACAGCAGAAAAACCCCAACTTTCCTGTATTATTCATACAGCTAGAAGGAAAAAAAAACCAATGACACATTTAAAGGGAGAGATGATATTTGAGCATGATGGCAGAAGGGAGGAGAAAGAATAATTTCCTGTAGTCATAAATTGTTCACACTAAGCATGATGGTGTAAGGTTTAAAGATGTTCAGGTTAAATAATTAGGCAATGGAAGAAACTACCCAGGGAGGTGGCTGAGTCAGGGATATGGGAAGTTTTCAGAGATAGGGCAGATGAAATCCTAGTGGGGATAGTGAAAAGGAAGATACACAGGTTTCGAAGTGGATGACCTAAAGGATCTTCTCCAATCCTATCATTTATGCTGCTATGATTCATCCTGAGGAGAACATTTTGGACCCTTATGAATTACTGGCCGAGTTTCCTGGATACTATTGTACATTAGTCTACTCTAAAGCATGCATAAAACTAAGTCAAAGTTGGCTTTGAAGTGTTTGATCTACAATATCCAATACTTCCAGTCTCTTTTTCATACAGTGACTCAGAAAAGAGCTGTTATAACAAGACAAAAGTTATTTTGAGTTCAGATTAAGTTAGAAAAGGGAGGCACCCTGTTCTTCAGCTATTCCCACCTAAAAGAGGAAAAAAACCCACCCCATCTCATGGCCTAATGGTCAGTATTGCTATTTCTAGACCTGACATAAGACAGCTTTAGAACAAACTACAGTTTTAAAGTAACTGTTTTTCATAAAATTTTGGATCCAAAACTAAATGTTCCAAATGACCAAAGTTAATAGCTTTTTGCTTTTTTGTTAACAAAAGATGACAGATTTTTCTCAGCACCTTTAAGCCATATTTCTAAAAATCATAATCCTTCTTTCAAGAAGGCCCATCTATTCATTACTAATCACTTTCTTTTCATTAAAAACTGCTTGAGGTAACGTATACCACTTCCTTTTTCTTAGTATTTAACCTTCATTCTGTAAACACAATCCAAAGGGCTTTTCAAAAAGTTGAGGAAAACACCAGTCTTGCTTATCAAACAGACACAGTTTAGTAGGAGTGCAAAATGGATTACTGCAAAATCAACAAGCTACAAACTTTCCTATACTGCTTAAATGGGAGAACCTGGACTTCATTGGTATTCTGTATCACTTTTAATGGGCTAATAAGCTGAGAGGGGCCTCAGTGTTGCCTCCTCAAGTCACCAGTGAGTCACTGACCACTGCACACACAATTTAAAAATGCTCAGATTTTTGTATCAGAGAGTGGAGTGGTGGTAACTGAATGAATGGGAAGCATGGCTGACTCATTTATTAAAGAATTGTGTAAAACAAATAAATTTGTTTTTCATTTAGTGTGAGTGAGAGAAAGGGCTTCATT